TACTTTAGTTTATGCTTTTCACTGTTCTTATAGCTTTAGAACAGTTATTGAAAACCGTTTGACACAGTTTGTTTTACGTTTTCGTAGCTAGCCACGCACAACAATTAACCTGATCGAGTTAACTGATCTTAATCAATTAATCAATTATTAATTATTAATCAATTAATCGAGCGGCCAGCGACACTCTGCAAGTAGAAATCTTGCGTGTAAAGTAGTCCTCGCACTCCATCAGAGTAATCAGTAAACATATCTGTAGTCAAGGAATCTCATAAGCATACAATCGAAACTATCAAATCGCTACAAGCATATCCAGCAAAAAATTAATAAGTTAAAAAATTAAGTTACTGAGGAAATTTCATGCCAATTGAACAGTTTTTAGTAAAAACATTTTTTCCAGTGTTATAGGGGTCTTCATAATAGTTTTTCATTAGTAATTTTAGGCGTTTTTGCCCAACGTTTAAAACGTATGCAAAGGCTAATTTTACTGTGGGTATGCTGAAATATTATGTTTGTGTCATGATGTTTTCTAAGTACAATACAGTTACGCATAATTGTTTTTTTTTTTTTTTTTTTTTTACAGCTGGTAAGTAAAATAAATAAATATTGATATAAATCTTTGAAATATATCTTTATATAAATATCTTTATTGATTTGACCTCAAAGAGTACATCAAACAATGTCAGCTTTCAAAGATAATTACTTGCAAATAATAATTTCTATGTATCCTTTAGTTTTTAAAATATACAAATATTTGAAAGCTTCAATTGCAATTCCATCCGAATTGTACATAATTGGCATTCTAATTGGTACGGTGAGGACAAGTTCATTTGCAGTAAATTTCAATTGGTTCTGTGTTTAGTCTCAGGAGCTATAGTTTTAATAAATCACACAGTTATATTATATCACATATAAGCTCGTCTGTTGAAGAATTTCAATAACCTTTTTTCGAGCTACACGGTGGATAAATGAAATACTTGATGCGTATGACATATATTTTCTTCTTGCTAAAGATGTGTTTCTTCCCGCTATAGTAATTAGTTTAAAGATTATACAGTGGCTGAGTCGGTCCGAAACTAAGTTGTATAATTGAATCAAACATGAATAAAAGACCTTTTTTGTTTCCTATTTGTATTTCCAATAGAGGCCAGGTACACTTTGCTTCAATGACAAATTCACATATTATCCACAATTTAAAAGTAATTCACTATTTTTTCCATTGATATATGTTGGCTACAGCAGTGATGTCAGGAAAATTGTTTCGAAGTCATTTGTAATGAGTTCTGTTTCAATACATAGCAATAGAAATATATATATATATATCAGGAGAAGAAAACTCAGAAACATTGAACTAATGAATCCGTTACACCCTATTTATTTCGTTGACTAGTTTAAACGATTTTTGAAAACGGTTCGGTCTTTAAAAGTAAGCATTTGAAGTTATTTTGAGTTAGTTTGGCCTGCTTCCAACCCCCACCTCGAACTTGAAACTTCTCAGAAATGCCGCTCAGACGGTTGACTACAAAAGTCTGGACTTCGATAATGAATCACTACTTGTTTTGTTTAGGTCCCGGGCTTGGTAGTCTCATTGTTTTTTGTATTTATAGGGTTTCGATAAGGTGTTTTTATGGCGTATCATTGGTTTCAGTAATGATCTCTTTTGCCTGTATACTGCTTGTGTCAGCTGATAACTAACACCATGTTTTTATTTAATGCTTAATTTTGCTTAGCTAAGAATGCTAGAACATTTCTATAGTTCAGCCAAAATTTCTGTGCGCTAGGACGGGTCACTACTAGCCGAACTATAAAAACATACGGGTACCGGTTATTGGCAGTGCTGGGGGTAGGGGTGAGAGAGTAGCAAGACTACCCACATCACAAGAAGTAAGAAGTTTTGTATTTTCACAAAAGTACCCCCGCCAACCCCGTCGCCTGGACCCAACCAGATCTGGTCACGCGCACAGAAACTTTGGTCGAACTGTTGGTTGTTGGTTGAGTTTTGTTACAAATACAGGGTGTCCCGTAACTCTCTGGACACTTGTATATATAGCGTTATTCCTTAGGTCAAGACAAACACATTTCACCATAGGAACATGGGTCTGTGGTGTCTAGTTTACCGACTGTCGGTATTTATAGATAAAAGAAATACATAATATTATAAATAGATGATAGTCAACGTGGATGAATTCAACTGTGTGTGTTTCTTTAAAAAGTAGGTATGAAGAGGAGGTACAACACAGTAAATTGAAATAGTTATGCCACCTATACGATAGTTTTCCCTACATTGTTATTAGAGTAGGTCTACAGTATGTACAAGAAATCACTGCAAAACCGTGCACTCACATTACCCGAAATAAATTTATTGATACAGTATTTTAATTTTACTTCTTAACATAGTCCCCCATTTTAAACCAAGGTTAGTAGAGAAGTTTTAATTGGCGTTTCAGGGTATCTGACGAATTCCAGGGGTCGGTTAAGAGGGTGTATTGTACTGTATGGGGCTTTTTCTTTTTCTTGTTACGACTGTCTGACGGTCCTGGCAGACTAGTGTTTATTTGTGCCTCGCACTCCAGAACGTTTCGTTGGCTCAGTTCCACCTTCTTCACGCCCGGATCCTCACTGTGGGAGGTTCCGTCCTCAAGACTTATGTCTCAATCGTGATAAAAATACTCATCTTGACATCTATTGATTTAGATTTCACAGGAAGTCATTTACACATTATGAGCTTCTCGGTTGATTTGGAAGGTTAGATGCTGTGTGTATCTTTCTTTGTTCAGAGTATCTTCGAAAACATTTCATATGTGACGTCATGATACAGTTGAAACCGACTTTTGCTTGCGTCATTGACAGGTAATAGAACTAAGAAATTATGAATATTGAAGGAATATTCGCTTAGCTTAACAAGCAAAGCAAATTTGAGGAAAAATATTAAATTTGCATTTCTAATTTCTTCAATAATTGTGCTCTACCTCCAATAACCAAACTTTTGTCCTGCCAAAGTGAAATTTGATAATTTTTTTAAGTAAACAGTCGAAAAATAGATATACAAAGTATTTTAACAACATTTTCAATTCTATAAATAAACAATTTCACTACTTAAGTTAAATATGGTACGAACAGTATCATCTTAATGCAGTCGACTCAAGATAATAAATATTTAGATAGGTATGACAAATTGGGGTCATTTATTTTTACAAATTTCACACTCGACTCGTCAAATACGTAGTCCGTTTCTGATTATATTTATTATATTTTGTTTTAACATGTGCATCAATTATTACACAAATTGAATATACAAACTAAACCAAGGCTTTTAGATTGTTTGTTATTTGATATATTTCAGTATAAAATTAAACAATTTTAAAGCATTAATTGTGGTACTTTTGAATTTAAAAAATATTTTTAGGTTATGTTTATAACATTAACACGAGGAAGATTTATAGAGAACTTCTTTTAGTTAGCATACTGCTTAATTAATCTGGATCTATGGAACGACTTCACAAAGGCAACAGTTGAATTAAATATATTTTCATCATGACAACCATTAAGTGTCCGATATGATACTCTTAAGAGATAAATTGTTATTAAATACATTATTGTTGACAAGTGGAATAATCAATATACACGGATAACATACAATGCAAACATAGCTACAGTATAATAATTAACTCCAACATAGCAAATTGAGTATTTCATCTTAACCAACAGAATGAGAATAAGCTATTTTCATTATTTTCTAAAAACTAACATTTTATGAGTTACATTAAGTTTTAAAATATAAGGTACACGTGTATGAAATTTAATGACAATAGGTCGGAAATGATTAAAGAATAGTCTGGTCTAGAAGAATTTATCTATAAAACAAATTACAACGACTGCAGCGCAATGACAAGATTCAACACAAACCGCACTGGCTATACTGCAGCCAAACAACTGCAGTGTTCGGTTAAGTAAAACTGAGAAAACTACAGTAAGATCGATAGCGAAGTTTTGTAACTTGCAACGCTAACTAACTTTAAACCCGTGCAAACGAGGGTTGACTTTTGTATAGAAGTAGACATACCGTAGGACTAGTCGTACCCAATCTTTCTCCCAGGAAGACAGTCGAGTAGAACACTCACAGTCTAAAATTCAATTTTCTCCCTTACATTGTGGTCTTTGACAGTAGATGTGATATAAGAGATGTATTAGTCCTTTCAGTTTAACAAGTTGCCTTATTCGTCATGAATCATTAATTCAAGCGAGTGCACAGATGTAGCACTGAGTCGGTGGTTCGACTCAAAAATGTTAATTTTAATTCCAAAACATGTCACGACATCAACTTTGGGATGTCTATTTCTATCCATTGTCAAAACATTTGACTCAAAAGTTTTAGTAATGACATAGATGGCATAAGGTATCTACATAATCACATATTTTATCTTGGATTATTCCTTGTGTCTGATTTAGTGTGTTTCCTCTACAATACATTAGCCACTTTGGATACTACAAATAGACATAATCCTAATTCCTGAAGATTGTTTTGGTATGTTACGTACCTGACAGAAATATGCACACGAACCACTGACTCCTTTAAAATATTATACGATGTGGATGACTAACGGATGTCAAAAAACTAATCTAGACCAACCCGTTCCCCTACGTTCAACCTCCCCTTGTCGGTTTTCATATATAGGACACAAATGTTTTCTGTTTGTCTCTGGAAAAGGCATTTTGTATAGATATGCAATAAGGTGGAGGTTAATAAAGTTGGTGGTCAAATTGTGATTTGTGTATATGCTATGTCTAGCTGACACTGAGGTCCAAAGTGGCCTCTATCACCCACACTGATATCACTTATCACTTGAACTGATAGTGATGTATCACCCTGGTGGTGTTGGGAGGGGAGGGGGGGATCTCTGAGATGTGTGGAGACTCACGCTCCCAGACCAGAGACGAGAGTAACGAGTCTATTTATAAACTAATAAAGAGCAGACCAGCATCAGTAGGAGTCTGGGTTTGAGAGTGCTGCCCGCTTCGTGGGACGCCATTTTGAATCGTTAACTGTTTGTGCGCGTTGAGTTGTGCGTTGTTTTGTATTGTATTGTTGCAGTTATTGTTGTTGTTGTGGCCGGTAAGGATTGATTAGGTATCGTTATTGTGGAGGTAAAACGCTTTAACTTCATCTGCTATGTTAGTCGGTCTACAAGGTTCTTTGTGTTGTGGCCTCTAAAAACTATAAATAAATTGTTTTCTTTGTATACTTCTAAAGAATAATTTGACATATTTTACGTAATTTTCCAACCACATTTGGTTTACTAAACCTTTAGATTGCTATTTTACCGGGTAGCTAGGAATAAATATATTTGAGTTTCATATTGAGGTTTAATGACAAGTTTTTGGAACTTTTCCAAGAAAAACTTTCCTTCAATTGCCATGCTTTAAACTCCTACTAATCGGTGTATTGTGGAAAGCTTTATTGTTCAAACAAATTTTATTTTCGCCCGGAAAACTCTGTTACAGCGTCAAATTCCATAAACTAAAACAAAACTTATATAATAAAAAATAAAATTACATTCTTTTTATACGTGCATGAGAAAGTCGATATTGTTACCGACAATAGTAAAGCTTGTAAACTATAATTTAAATATTTCTCACTTTGAAACATCAGGTAAAAGAACGGCAAGTCTTGGTTCCTGTTGTCTGTAATGATTCATTTAGTATATCCTCTACGTTTCTATTATCTTTTATTTTGTTGTTACCCCGATTATCCTTATCATTTCCGGATTTATCACATGATAACATTAGCTGTACACTCGGTGTGTGATCAGGGATCGGTCTGATAGGGTTGGGGAGGAGTATTTACAGATAACCAGCAGTAGTACCAACTGAAAACTGACTGATTTGTTATCAACAACAGCAGTGGTACCAGTGGTCAAGCGACGCGTATAGTGTGCAGATGGTTGAGAGTCCTACGACCGGACCAAACATGTTGTTAGTGTTGATGTGTGTGATGATGAAGATACTAGAGTACTCGTCAGGTACGTTGGTCGACGTCCAACCACCTCCCCAGCAAATAATGGGTGCAAAGAAGACCAGGAAGCGGAGAAAACGTACAAGAAAGAGAGGTAGGTTGATTTGCTGAGTTTGTCCGTAGTCAGAGTTCCACAAGTTGTTTCTTAACTCGCTAAGTTTGCAATCTGAACTGGATGAGTTGATTTGTATTACCGCGAGTCCTAGGGTAGTTCGCAAGAGAATGTATTCGACGTTCTAGTGTATTAGAGGGGAGAGTCAAATAATATGCTAAATCGGTAAACATAAACAAACCATTATAATATACAGTTTTATAACCTCAATCCCTAGGTCACCACATGGTGAGCCTGTACCATGAGTATAGGAACATGAAACAAATACATATACGATTTGACTGATTTTATACTTTGCTAATTACTCTATTAAGTAAGAACGAAGTTAAAGTTAAACTAAAGAATTATTTTATAGAAAATCCATAGCCACTACCCATCACATTGATTATTACAGTAGCCTAGTTAGTTAGTATACTTACATTAGTTAGTCACAATGAACAAAAAATGTTAGTATCACATGAGGGAACACGACAACATAAACTGGGGGGACTATAGGCTAATATTATAGGACTTGGTATTTATTTATTTTAATTTTATCAACATTTTCATGTATAATGTAGTCATTAACCAAGCATGAGTTGAGGAATGAAGATTTGAGCTACATAACCTCACTTTTTACTTCCATCTATTTTGATCTGGACTGGACTGGAATGGATTATTGGTATTGCTTTTTTTCCCAAAGTGAGGAGACAGGATAGGGGAAATATTGTTAGTTTTTATTCATAAAGTCTTTTGGTATTGTAAAATGAATATTTTATGAGTATGAGTATTATTGTGTTTGGTTGTCTCATGTATATGTAAACTTACACATGATATGGAATGGTGAAACTGGGTGACAGAGGCATTGACGGCCCCGAGTTTTAACACGGGGCTACCAGCCCGGCCCAGGATTAACTATTTCCATAATACTATCATGATGCACACACACACGCATATATAATAAAACATACAAACTCATAGTCAAATATAATAATTAAAAAAAAACATAAAAAGAAAAAAAATGTTTTTGTTCAAATTATGGTTGTTTATTAAATATTATTTAATTCGAAAATAAAATAAATGGATTTATACGATGTATTTGTAAAAGATAGTATAATAAGGCAATAGATATAAGTTTTCCTCTCAAATAGCTTGCAGCTAGAGAGGTATACAAGGCGCTGCAGTGTACAACAAATTTTCGCATGCGAGAAAATAAACAAATTGAAATTGAAATATAGGCATAAATTTATATAATAATTTATATAGTATCAGTTACCTACCACACTTAAGAGAATCTATAATTATCCTTGTAAATTGCCCTGTGTCAATATCCAAACATTGAATCGAACTCAGATTCTTTATAAACATAGTTTCTCCGTAAATCCATCATATAACTTTACCTGGCTACCATGTGTAATGTTTTGTAAGCCAAAAACGAAGAACCCACCACTCCAGAATATACATCAAATCAACTTCAAAATTTTTATTGTACTGATTTTTTGGATGTTCGGGATAAACAATAGCTCGTCAAAGGCCAGGAGTAAACATAGGAAGTTAAAGTATGCAGTAAAAGTATGTGAGAAACTAAACAGTGATATGCTATCAACGCGAAGATCTCAACACAAATGTCTGTGAAATCAAACTCTTTCATTTGAATGTTCGTAGTGGTCTTGTTTAATGTCATATCCGAAATTATAATACAAATGATGATATCTATGTTTTTTTCTTCCTTACATGCCAATTATCAAATCAAATAGGACGATTAAGGTTATGACCTTTTCTCACTCTATAAACGTATTGTTTATATAGGTTCTTGTTAACAGCTAATTAATATATTTGTGTTACCTTCTGTAGATCACCAACTCGAAATGGTAATATTTTCGATCATATATGTTTCATTGAATTAGAACTGCTGTGATGTAAATATTAACCATTCTAGATTTTCTGGGAAAAGTTTGAAATAAACAAAGCTAGGTAAGACAATATAAAAAGCAATGAACGTATATTGTTTAGTTTATGATGATCGCTACTTCAAATGTACGGATGGCTTAACCTAACCTAAATTCTAATCACTGGAAAAACTTATAAAAATGATTATTAGTAGTACTATTATTAAAATTAGTAACCTATTATTCTTCGTACTATTCTGCCACATTCAAATTATGATCGTTCATTACATATATAAACATTACAATGTTGGAAAAATCCTTGCCCAAGAAGAATTTATCTTCATAGTATTGTATACTAGATGTGGTTCTCAACGTAATTTTATTTATGAATAATCTATCAACCATTAAAATTGCTATGTTATAGCATCACTGGAACTGAATTAACACTAAAATTGGTATAACAAATAATCAGGTAATTAATTTTGTAAATGATAGTTTCAGATTATTCAATTCTGATCTCCTAGTTGTACACGAACGAAATTTTGTATGGTATTGACAACGTTATTACGGCCAAAATATAACTATATGAAGTAATAATGGCGCAAGTAAACTTATTGTTCTGCTCTGACATTGAATGAAGGCTCGGTTTAGTGAATAGTCTCGATGGAAAGCTACTATTAGACCATCGTATGACAATATCCACTGTGCAGTTTGTACGACTGCATTTCCGATGTTTGTACCAACGAAACATGTGCCCATTCTACTCAGTATGCCTACCTACAGAGTTTTCTCTACAATAGTACAGTATTCGCATTTGCATCATCATAAATATAAAAGCTGTTTAGTAATTCGATAATTTTTTTTATGACGAACACTGTCTTATAAAGGTGTTACAAGAGTACTATCAACGCTTTTTCAGAGCTATTATCTGTCTAAAGACGATAAAGGACATTGTAAAGGAAGATCTTTCTTAATTATCTTGGTTAATAAACAATGCCTCTTTTTAGCGAATTCCCCATATAGAGAATAAGCTATTATTCAATAATGTTGTATTCAACATTATTATTCATGGGACAGTATTGTTGTGCCGTTTTAATTATAACTATGAAAAAATAAGTACAATGATAACGTTTCAAGAAATAAATATATTCAATTGATTATTCATGGTTATTAATGTAGGTAGTTTTTCTGGTCGATTTGTACAAATCACAATGAGATTCTCAAATTGTATTGGTGAGAAAAGTTTCCTCGCAATTTAATAGTAATAATAATTAAAAATTACCTTCCTCCAATCATGAATGAATATACCTACCATTTGTTTAAGAAAACAATCGTTGACGTGACGTTATATAAGTAGGATAAGGTACATAAGTCATAAGCATTTTATTGCATATAACATTCTTCATTACAAAGGCAATGGTGAACAAATTCATGGTCAATCAATAAGTTATAAAAACTAAAACTAAAAAGTTACAACAAAATACAACAAGGACAGTAAAATTGAGAGAAAGTTAACAAAAAAGTTAGAAAAAAGACAAATTTAAATGAAGATCTTGAAGCAATATCAGAGAAAAAAAAACAATTAAAAACATTCTGTGTCATGTTTTACATAAACTAATGGTCAATTAATGTCACGGTCATTTAGGAAATCTGCCAGGAAGTATGATTTCTCCACAAATAATGATTTAGTGCAAATTTTAAATTTTTGTGGTGTATAGGATTTTATTTTTGAGGGGATCTTATAATATAGACAAATCCCCATATAGATGGGTTTTTTTATAAGAGTATTACATAGCGATCAGTGATCAGTAATTTCTTGATTAACAGTTTATTAATGTTAAAAAGGATGCAGATTCAGAACATGAGTATAAGATCACATGCTTAAATGAGAATAAAAAACGTAAATATGATAAACAATTCACAATAAGAACCAAGATGAGATAGCCAGCAACAACAAGGATTAGTACCACATAGATCGAGCTTTTAGGAAACATTAACTAAATAAGTGAGAAAGTCACGGCAGCCCAAGGAATTATTTGGTAGATTGTGGTCTGACCTTTGACTGTCTTATAGATAGGACTGCTTGCTGTTTGAAACAATATAAAACAACGGTTTGTTGTTAAATGTTATCTCTTACCAAACATACTTTCCAACCTCAATCGGTCCTTACTTCCACATAAAAGCTTACATACAACAAGAATGGATTGAAAATTGAACTAAATTAACACGTTTTAGTACCCTGAATATATCCTCTTGATGACCGAGAGAATCCATTCGTCGCTGTGAGTCCACTTACCCAATCTGACTACTACTTTATTTATTTGTATTCTAAAAGGGTTGTGACCAAAGGAAATCACACTTAGTGACCAACGCTATATGAATAACATTTCGCTCTATTGACATATCAATTCGCCTATATATTGTGGCTTTTATTTAATTTTAAAACCTTAAAATAAAGTAAACAAAATTACCTTATTGTATGAAGATATAGCTATTAACAAGCAGTTTATGAAGGACAACATATTGGGTGTAGGAGCTTTTTAGTTACCAAACAAACCAACAGATGTGAAATCAAATATAACATATTAATAATATTTTAAGCTGATTGGAATAATAAAATAGCCCACCGCTGCAAACCTACAGATTAAGTGAATTTAAATTTTTAATAAAATATTTCATTATATTTCCATAAAGAAGACATATGTATTTCCCATTTAAATAACATTAGATTTAACAGGTTCTTAGGTTTGCTGCTATAGGGAAGGAAAAAGGTTTTAGTCTAAATGTTAATAGTATAAGATGAAATAAATAAATCTCCCAAATTTAATCGACGAATATCCATAAACAAGCAAGCTACGACAGTTTTCTTTTGCATCTTATAAGAAGCATGGGTCTATCCCGCCCTACACCTTCAAGCTAAATTTCATCAAATTCGGACCAAAGTTATCGTGTTTTTGGACACACACATATTTAATACTGGGTATACCTATATATTGGCTAACCAAAATATTTATACTCATTTTAAATAAACAAATATAAATCTATCGATAATATACTGTATTAATATGCAATAATATGCATAAATTAATGATAAGATTAAAGTAAGAAATATAT